ATCGATCAGTTCATGACCCGAACCGCTTCTACTCGGAAACATTCATCACCAGTAACTATGAACAACCTTAAAAAAGACACAGAGAGAGGGGGTGAAAGGAGGAACCTTTTGGATCTGTTCGGTGGTGATGTTTGTCGGAGGGAATGAAGGAACCATGGGAATCATCTGCGGAGGTTGCTGCATCTTATTCGCGTCTCCTCTGAACTTCGCCGTTGCCCCAATCACCCAAACCCTAGTTTCCTCCCCTTTAAAAACATTCACCCAAATCGATTCAAATGGTGAACTGATAAAGCTAGGTCAGTACAGTGACGCAATCTTCAACAGATAATTTTGATTTCCCTATATTTTTAAGACTTTGATTCGTTTGGATACCGATGAGGTTTCTGGAACTCAAGACAAAAACTCAAAAAAAAAATCTTTTTGTATTGAAGTCAAACAAATATAATTGACTTCGCCCCTCTCCCAAAAACAGTGCGGATGTGCGATAGATTTCGTCGGCCCCCGACAAAAGTCAAAAACCGAGGAAATTATTTTTTTTTGTAACAGAACAACGAAATTATGAAAGGAATAAATCTCGAAGAACAAAAAAAAAATGGAGGTGAGACTAGGGGTGGAAAAAAAACTCAAATTTCGGATACCCGATTCGATCCATGGATCGGATATCTAAAATTTTGGGTATTCGAGACAATAAGACATGAGTCTGGATAATAATATTGGAATATCCGAATTTTTGAGTTCGAGTTCGGATAATTAATATTATTTCACGGATATTCGTGGGTATCCGGATAATAAAAAATTATCCTTAAAATTTTAATTTTTTATTAGATTTTATGTTATTTTATTTGATATTAATGATTATATAAATATTATTGGATATATTTATGATGTATTTTTAAAATTAATTTATTTTGGATAGGTATATCTAAGTATATTCTTAAAAATTGATTAAAAATAATTAAAAATATTCGGATTCGAATACTTGCGAGTATCCGATAATTATTTCACGGGTATTTTAGTTCGGATACTCGACTTCACAGGTATGAGTTCGAGTAATAAAATACATAACCCGGGATATTCGGATTCGGAGACCCTCAAATTTCTGGATATCCGACTCGTGTCCACCCCTAAATGAGACTAATGAGTATGTACGTATCATGCATGAAATATTTGTGAGGAAAATTCCTCTATTAAAATATTTCAGGATCTTCAAAATCAATTAGAGATCCCAAATCTACAAAAATCCAATCATGATATTAAAACTCCAAAGTCCAATGATTTAAAAAAAAATATGTCTACCGTTTTTTAGATAGGTAAATATCATCATGGAATTCGAACTGTGAAGGTAAATAACTTTGTACTTTCACAATCACTAGATCACCTACTGTTGGTTTCTACGAAACGCGCGTACACAAGACTATACGGTTTATAAGATCTCATGAGAAATTAAAGCAAGTTCATCACGCAAGTCTACTTTCTTGTGCAAATAAACCACAAAGCTAATTTGAAAACTTGAAAGGAGACAGCTATGATCAGTTGCAACAGAGTTTTACAGTTTAGGGTTCTGCTTAAACCATGCATTATATGATTATTTTCAATCTAATACTTGGCTCGCGTGAAACTGAAGGGTTGACCTTTATAAATCCACAAGTAAATTTTTATAGTGATGTCCGGTAGCTTCGAACCGAACCGTGGATACTCTATACACTGCCCACACGGCGTCGTTTAGAAAAAAGGTTTATACCCAATAAAAATAAAATTTTTGTTGGGATTACGTGGAGGGATACGAGCCTCCCTTTCTTTGAATAGTTCACGTGGGTAGTTTCTAGTTGGCAAGCCCGTCAACTTTTTAATTTGATGGGTTTCTAAGAATCTACAAACACGTGCGAATATTATTATATACATATTTATTAATATTGTTCGCACGTTATCATCAAATCTTATCTTCAACTATAAACGGTATGGTATCGACAGTTTGCGTTTTCAACTATTCACATTTATTGTTAGAGAGATTTCGCAATATAAACATGTAATTTTTTCTTTAAATGTTGAATTAATTTAAGATTAGGATAATGTTTTGCTTTCTCGTGGTATATGAATGTCATTGTATATCCTGTAAAAAAGGGCATATCCATCTTTATCGAGCATATATATGTATGCACATATACCTATACCATATATGTGCTCGATGGAACCAAAGACACTTATTGTTTGGCTGCCAATCAAATTACATATGAAAACGGATTTTATTAATTCCCATAATCAATTTTGATATGGTTGGTCGGTGCACGTAAACTGACTTATAAATATTGTTATAATAAAAAGATTTTTTCCATATTATATACGAATATGTTATAAAAGATAAAACCGGGAGAGGTAGCTTACCGATCATTATTTCCCCTTTCACCTGCGCCTCACCGGCCTTGTTTTATTTCCTGGATTCCCATTTTGCCCTTCTCGTATCACACCTTTCTACTACTAATTAAGTGTAATAGGACCCATTTCGGACATTTCACAACCGACAATCTCCATTGTACCCTCCGAGTATCTCGTAATGCCGATTGTTTTCCATCTGCTTTCCCTCCATTTCGCTTTGGACCGACGGTTATACGTCGCTATATTTTCCATTCTTGTGAATATTATGTAACCGTCATTATATTTTTTAGTGATGTGTATAAAACGGTGCCGGGTTTTTATTGCATCCGCCCTAATTAAGGTGCCCTCTCGATCCCCCAATGCATGCATTGGTACGTAATTCATTGATTTTTCTTCTTTATTTTCTTATTCTCCGTTCACGTTATTACTAAATAAAATAACCTTATTGGACATTTTGTAATTACAGGGCACTTTAATATCAAGGCGCCATACATATATGCTGAATTGGGTGGTTGAGCTAATATCAATATTTTCTCGGAACCACCCACCATTAATTTCAATTAGTCAAATCATCTGTTTGCTCCTCCTCCGTTGTAGCTTTCTTGCACTTAATAGCAAATCTTGTCGCTTTCTCTCTCTTTCTCCCCGGCCAAACAAAAGTTAAGCTGTTTTTTAGCTAATGTAAGCTTGCTGGCCTTTGCCTTTCAATTATTTGTCCGAAAATTTTGTTACCTGCCATTTTCTTTTTTAAATTTCTGCTCGTATTCGAAAGTTTGGACCCACCATGATTTACCTTTCCTAATAAACTTTTTTTTTTTAATATTTATATACAAGCAATCAAGAGCCTTTTTTCCATGATCCAAAGCGGAACCCATCTTCTTGGAGAGATCTCGAGATCACAGGGGGGGAATAATTATGGAGAGAAACAGTAGTATAGAGATGGATAAAGAGAGACTGACGGCGGAGATGGCTTTCACAGATTCTTCATCCGCCGTTATCAGAATCCGGCAACGTTTGCCGGATTTCTTAACGTCCGTCAAGCTCAAGTACGTGAAACTAGGGTTCCATTACTCTTGCAACCCGGCGACCATTCTCCTGTTTGCCGTTATCCTACCGTTAACCGGAGCGGCCCTGATTCAGCTGACGGGTATAGAACTCAACGCACTCTCCGACTTCTGGTCTAATCCAGCGGTTCGGTTCGACGCAGCGACAAGGCTAACCGGTTCGGTTTTCCTCTGCTTCGTCTTGGGTCTCTACCTTGCCAAGCGACCAAGACCGGTTTACCTCGTGGACTTCGCGTGTTACAAACCGGAAGACGAACGGAAAATGTCGGTGGAGTCGTTCTTGACCATGACCGAGGAAAACGGAGCGTTCAACGAGGAGGCGGTTCAGTTCCAGAGGAGGATCTCGAACCGGGCCGGTTTAGGAGACGAGACGTACCTGCCACGTGGCATAACATCGAGACCGCCGAAGCTGTGCATGTCGGAGGCACGTGCCGAGGCCGAGGCCGTGATGTTCGGAGCCCTAGATGCCCTCTTCGACAAAACCGGAGTTAAACCGGCCGATGTCGGGATCTTGATAGTGAACTGCAGCTTGTTCGTGCCGACGCCGTCCCTGTCGGCGATGGTCGTGAACCGTTACAAGATGAGAGAAGACATCAAAAGCTACAATCTTGGAGGAATGGGATGCTCCGCTGGACTGATCTCCATCGAGCTCGCCAAGAATCTCCTCAAAGCAAACCCTAATGCTTACGCCATCGTTGTGAGCACAGAGAACATCACTTTGAACTGGTACTTTGGAAACGACCGGTCAATGCTTCTCTGCAACTGCATTTTCAGGATGGGTGGTGCGGCCGTACTCCTCTCCAACCTCCGAAAAGACCGGTCACGGTCCAAGTACGAACTCGTCCACCTCGTACGGACCCACAAGGGCTCCGACGACAAGAACTACAACTGCGTCTACCAGAAGGAAGACCAGAACGGAACAGTCGGAGTATCGTTGGCTCGTGAGCTCATGGCGGTGGCCGGAGACGCGTTGAAGACAAACATCACAACGTTAGGGCCGCTGGTCTTGCCCTTGTCGGAACAGTTCATGTTCTTCATGACACTGGTGAAGAGGAAGTTCTTTAAACTGAAAGTGAAACCGTACATTCCGGATTTCAAGCTGGCGTTCGAGCATTTCTGCATACACGCAGGTGGAAGAGCAGTGCTGGACGAGGTGGAGAAGAATCTGAACCTGAGAGATTGGCACATGGAGCCGTCCAGAATGACGTTGCATCGGTTCGGTAACACGTCAAGTAGTTCACTTTGGTACGAATTGGCATACACAGAGGCAAAGGGTCGGGTGGGGAAAGGAGACAGGCTTTGGCAGATAGCCTTCGGATCTGGTTTCAAGTGTAACAGCGCCGTTTGGATGGCGTTACGGTCTGTGTCCGCGTCCGAGATGGCGGGTAACCCCTGGGTCGGTTCGATAGATAATTACCCGGTTAAGGTCTGACAAAGACTCGATTATTATAATAATAGTTCGAACCGGATGGTGTAGACCGCCAGCCCATGATATTGATTCATTACATACTCTATATATATATAATATGTTACCATTTCTATATTGTGAAAAGGAATTAATATTGAATGTTTGGCGTGTTTACGTGGGAAAAGAGTGCGGTGAGTTTGTTGGAATTTGCTGAACTAAAGGGGGAAATAATCTAAAGTCAGTTACACGTTGTTGATACATTTAACATTGTGAAATAATAATTTTAGGGACCACCAAGGAACAGCTAAATCTCGTGAAAATAATATAATCTGCGTCTGCGTCTGCGTCTGCGTCTGCGTCTGCGTAGATGATGCACATGGACTTTTGGGTCACGACCACTTTGCCTTTTTCCGATTAGCAAGAAGACAAATACCATATTCACGCATCATTTCTGTATATCTCACGACTATTTTTTTTTAGTAAAAATAATTAGGGAAAATGACATTTTCCTACACCAATTTAGTAAAATATGACATTTTCCTACGCGAATTTTTAATTTGACAAAAACCTACACTATATTATCAGATGTCCCAAATCTATACACGAATTACCCAATTTTACTGCAATTTACTATCCAATCCGAAACGATGTTAAAATGTCCGTTAATTGATGACGTGGAAGGCCACGTGGCGGCTGACGTGGAAGGCCATGTGGAAAATTTTGTCACGTCAGCACGCCACGTCAGATTTTCAAAAAAAAAAAAAAAAAAATTCAAAAAAAAATTCAAAAAAATTCAAAAAAATTAAAATCGAAAATAAAAAAAATAAAAATACATATATATACATATATATATATACATACAAATATATATTAATACATATACATATATACATGTATATATATATAAACATATGTAATACATATATATATATATATATTGTATATATACATATATATACATACATACATATATGTATGTATACATATAAAATATAAAAAAATACACGTACATACATATATCTATACGTGTATATGCATATATATATATTCATATCTATATATAAATACAAATATAAACAAATATACTCCTATGTATTAATATATCTATATATACATACAAAATAAAAAATATACACATATATATACATGCATCTATACAAATATATATATACATAAGTACAAATATATTTATATATACATAAATTTTTAATTTGATATACAAGTATATATTTATATATACCATGACGAGTCTACCACATACCCAGAGGCTATGGCGAATTTTTTTTATTTTGTATGCATACATATATATATATATATGCATTGTATATGTTTATATATATATATATATGTATACATGTATATGTATTTATATATGTGTATGTGTGTATATATAAATATATTTGTATGTATGTATATGTATATATGTATTTTTTTATTTTTTATGTTTTTTATTTTTTTTAAAAAAAATCTGATGTGGCGTGCTGACGTGTCAAAATTTTTCACGTGGCCTTCCACGTCAGCCGCCACGTGGCCTTCCACGTCATAAATTAACGGACATTTTAACACCGTTTCGGATTGTGTAGTAAATTGCAGTAAAATTGGGTAATTCGTGTATAGATTTGGAATATTTGATAATATAGTATAGGTTTTTGTCTCGTGTAGGAAAAGGTTACATTTTACTAAATTTGTGTAGAAAAATGTCATTTTCCCAAATAATTACGATTTATTGACGGATTATGAGAAATCTTCTGGAGATATATAATAATAATAATATAAGAAAACTTTTAACATGTAAATATTTTTGGGGCCAAGATTGCAGATTACACAGTCAAGAAATTGACAAAATATGAATGCAAACTGTTTAAAATTGAAAAAGAAAAAAGAAAAAGAAAAACGACACTCCAATGAGCATCGTCAGAGAGGTTGGCAGTGTATATATTAAAACCTGTAGGGTACATATTTTTGTATCTCCGTGAGCCTGTGGCCATATACTTTAGAAATTTTCGGATACGCCCCTGTACTTTACTTTCTTCCAATAGGGACCCCCATTTTTTTTAAAGATCAGATTGCGCCCAAGACCTCATGGTAATCAAGGATGCTATGCATAACAGATATATGGTATTTTAATTACTTGAGTGAAAATAATACTCATGGTAACCAAGGGAAGTTCTAATAGTGACTAGCATCAGATGACACATTAACAGATTCATAGTCCATGATTCCAACCGGACCAATCCGGATGAAGGCTTTGGTCGATCTGTGAAGACAGATATTCATGAAGAGGAGTTATATATAGTTATAGAACCCGTGATTCCAATAACAGTAATCTAAGAAGAGGTGTCCGAAAGAAGAGTCATATTGTATTATTGAGGTCAACAAGATTACTTCAACCTTCATCCCCTTTTGCCTAAATCCCTTTTATCCATCAGAAATGTAGAGTTCGATTCACATTTATATGTTTTCAGTTTCCAGAAGCAGACTACAAACAAATCTAATACACCTCTTTTTCCTTTTTTCGGGGGTGGATCATATTCGTATAGGCCTAGTACGGACGGTACCTTCGACCGCGGTTGCCATCGTCACTGCTGCCTCGACCTGACCCTCCGCTCGAGACATTTGTACGGTCAACTCTTCTGCTAGTTTGAGGTGGTGGTGCCATCTGCATGCCAGGCTGTTGCCTGCCCACCCACAAGTTATGAAAATGGGTATTAGAAAAATCCAATCTTTTCTCTATACGATTGATTTACATAGTGATGCACAGTTCTCGAGCTTCGATCTTCCAAAACCAATCATTCATGAATCAATAAGTTTTGTGTTTGTTTTCTTTTCTACTACTCATTTGAGATGATGATGATGATGATGTCTCAAATCTCCAAACAGATGGGTTACTAGATGGATGGATGGATTATGAGAACCATGACTTACAGAACATAGCCAATCCGCCCATCTGGGAGAACCATCGGCACCATTTGCATCCCCGTCGGCATTGCCCCTCTACCATAGATCATCGGCTGTTCCATTCATATTGAGCCAAATCAATTCTTAATCCAACACGAATAACAAAACAAACTGGTAATATATATATATATAGACAGAACAGACTTTCTCAGAATCATACCTGATTGAAACCACCGGCAACACCAAGAGAACCATATGAAGCCGCAGCAAAACCACCGAACGCAGGAGCAGCAGTAAAGGGAGAAGGATGAAGCACGGCTCCATAGGGATAGGACGAATCAGTTTTCTTCTCTGTCTGGGGTTTAGCAATCACTACTTCTAATACTTGACCTGTAGTGAAAGTTTGTGTTACTCAAGGAAATACATGACTCAGACACACAGCAAAAAAAAGACACAGAAATAGGAATGGCCCCAACAAAGATCTAGTCTCCTGCTACGTAACAATCAACAGCAAAGAAGTGTTGATCATACATGCATAACTTTCAAGATCACTAAAGAATGTATGTATGATGAGAGGCACACTTCAAGTAAATTCTCAGTAATGAAAAAGGTATCTACAACAACCCTCCATATAAAGCATGAAATAGGGTCCTGCATTTCTTCCCCATCTGTCCATAAAGACAAACAAGCGACTAGGGTCCAACCAGATTCTATGCGCTCATTCTGAAATGAGTACAAAATTTACCGTTGATTTCATATTTTTCACTATCTTTGGTAGCCTTCAATGCACTAGACCTTTCAGCATAATGGACGAAACCAAAATCCCGCTTTCCACCCTTTCCAGGAGGCATGACAATTTTGGTCACTTCGCCATGCCTCTGGAACAGTTCTTTCAGCTGATCTGTAGAGGTATTCTCAGGTATATTCTTGACATAAAGAGCTTTCACCTGTGAAGACAAAAATATCACAAAACGTGTGCAGCACACCAGAAAGTAAATGGATTTCAATTTGAATCTCCAAACAAGAACATCGCACATTGCAAAAAAAAAAAAACCCTACATTTATCAGAAAGAGAAGCTTTATGATTCACAAAAAAGTTATTAAATTCCCTTTTTCAAGTTTACCTGAGCAGCAGCAGCTGAGTACTCAGGAGAGGCTTTAGGATCAGCCCACGTCACAGTTGGAGTGTTCCCCTCAAGCTTGAAATTAGCATCTATCATTTTCTGCCTTGAATAATCGGCACACGCATTGTTATAGTACAAGACAAATGCAAAACCTCGGCTACAATTTGGATTTGTTGGGTCCTACACAACAACAAGAAGCAAAGCAAGTGAGCAGCAATATCAGCAAGGTCAAACCTCGGTAACAATGATGCATGAATCGCTGACTAATTCCATACTCTTGCCTTTATGAGCTCAATGTGCTCCACTCCGGGGCCCACATTTTCTATGACCTTTCTAAACTCATCCTCCGTCCAGCTCTTTGGAATGTTACCAATATACAGTCTATTCTTAGTTTCGGAAAGGGAGCATCTTATTGTCTTGCCCTGCAAATACAACATACATCAAACAGAAGAAGAGACAAGTACATTGAACTAAGCAAAAACCAACAACTTAAGCTACAATCAGGTGTTAAGATTGCCTTTAACACTTTGCCATGCAGCTCCTCAATGGCTTTCTGGGCAATGTCTTTTGATTTGAAAGCCACAAAAGCATAGCCTTTGCTCTCACCAGAGTCTCTATCTTTCATCAGTCTCACCTGGTGAGATAAGCTGAAGTCAGGCGAAAACAGAGAATCCCATGAAAATGAAGGCATAAAAAATGGACAGGTACCGAGACGATCATTATTACAGATCTAACCTCAAAAACCTCGCCAATTGGTTCACAGAGATCTCTCAAGTCCTCTTCTCCAATGTCCTTTGGGAGACCTCCGATAAAAATTTCAGAACCATGGGGAGGGAGTGAAAGAAGACGGGAGTACTCTTCCCTTTCTTCTTCGTTAACAGGAGATCCTGGTTTCTCTTCGTCTTCTGTAGCCTCAATATCAACATGGGTCTGATCCTCTTCGGATGACCGATCTTGATCTTCTTCTTCCCTATTCTCCACTTTTGTGGCTCCATATTCCTCCTCACCATGTTCTTCGGCCTCGCCATCATCTTCTTCGTATTCTTCAACCTGTTCCTCTTCAACTTCTTCCATTTCACTGTAGTTACCCTCTTCGAGATCCACACTGTCCTGAGTGTCCTCAACTTCTGGGCTGCCTGCCATCAGGTTTGCGCTTACAAGGTCTGATCATACAATAACATCACTTAACCTTTAGTCAGTAAGCTCAGGTGATCATTAATGAAGATGCTACAGAAGCATCCAATTTTCATAATGTAGGAAACAGATAAGGAACTAATGTGTTAAAGACCTATGGGCTAAGGCATTTTAGTGAAATGAGAACCATTTCTCTAACTCCTTTTTCTTTCTGCAGAGAATAAGAAGAGGTTCCGTAATAGCTCAATCCGATTCTTTTAATGGCGTAAAAGATACAACAGATGTTGAGTAGATTGCTTCCTAGAAATGGTAAAATCATGAAATACAAAGGACATAGAATTTCGCGTTACCGTATCTCCCAGCAGACAAACAGCAAGAACATGCGAAAACGAAAATTAAGCTAATCCATATCAAATCTTCACAAAGAACGAGTATTGTGTAATCGAATCCAGAGAAATAATTACCCGATTAAAAGTAAGAACCCAATTTTCTGCAATCCATTTCAAAACAGAAAAAAGAGAACCATACACAAACGGTGGGGATTCAAATGTGTAATCAAGATTCACATCCAGACAAAACAATGGAGCAAAACCCACTAATGGACACCAAAGAAGATCGACACCCGAAAAGGAAATTACTCACCGGCTTAGCTCATAAATAAAGGAAAAATCTGAGCTTGAAACAGGCACATAAACTAGGGTTTATCCTTTATCGGAAGGGAAGATAAAGAAGAAGAAGAAGAAGAAGAGGAGGAGGAGGAGCGAAATCTAAGAAATAACCAATACAAAAATATAAGAAAAGTAGAAATGGAGAATTTTCTCGGCATACCAGACGGTGTTTGTTTACGATCGGATTTATGGGAAATTAGATTTCGGGAGAATTAGGGATTTTCGCTTCGGTTGTGTTGTGATTCCGACCCAAAACTGTGATCAGCCTTAGTCGGGATTTCTCGTCTCCGGTGAAAGAAATAGACGACTCCTACATCGTCGTCGTGGCTCGGATCACATGTAACGCAGCCATCCACGGCGCACGACTTTCTCGAATCATATTCAGCCACGTGTCCAAGCACTTGACTGAATCAAGGCCCATGGGCTAAACAGCATCTCTTGGAGCTGGGACTTGCAAGGTCCGCCGTTTCTCTCCAGGATACCTCAACTACGTGCCGTTCTGATTCTTCTCATTTCTTTCTTTGTAGTTTTTGTACACAGGAGGAAAACCGCAAACAGCTCTTTCTATTACTCATCTCAGTGAAAAAGCTTTATGGGCACGAAGTCATTGCAATAACCGATAAGATTTGGTGTCTTTTCTTTTATACAAAGACGTTATGTATTTAGAAACATATTTATAACACCATGATGATCAAACAAAATTGTTTCAGTAGGAGAATTGTAACAACGAAAAGGACGGGTTTTGTGGTTTGGTTTACAACGGAAGTGGTAAGTTCCCTTTAACCAGTTTAAGTAGCATTTGCGACATTATAATCATTGAAAGTAGCATATTTCATCATTTAGCCCCCCCTTTTTTTTTTAAAATTGCGCAATGACATGCAAATTTGTCTGATGGCTTGGAGCAATTGAAGGGTAGATATGCAAAAAAAAAACACTTACAGAGATCTACAACTTAAGAGCAGAGATGGCATGAGGGCTGAAATCGACACGGAGACCAAGCACCCGCCTGACCTCAGCCGGAGTCAACCTCCAAGTCATGGGCCCTGAATTCTCCCCCCAGAAATCCATAATCTCCGACACCTTCTCCAGGTTCAGGACCGTCGCCATCTGCGTCAGCCTCGCAAACTTATCCCTCACCGTCCTCTGCGTCATCCCCGAGAAATGGCTAACCATCGCCCTCGTCTCTCTGTCCAGCTGCAATCCCCCCAGCTGGCTGAACCCTTTCTGCATCATTATCACCTCCACCCTCTTCACTATGAACTCTATCACCATCTGCACAAACGTGTCGTAGTTGCTCCCCGTCATCAGCGCCTGCAGCCATCCCGCGTTCGTTTCCACCGAGTGGATGAGTCTCTGTACCCACGGGTCGTTCACCTCGTTCTCCGCGTATTCTGCTTCTGTTATCTCGTAGCTTATGGTGGCTATCGTGTCTAGGACCGGTCGGATCCTGGGCGTTACTGTTGCCACTAGCTGTTCCATTCCCGAGTTCAGCAGTTGCTTGAATGTGTTGCTTAACTCGCCCAACTCGGATAAACATGACTTTATCCTCTCCCTGTCTCCTGGTACAGGAAACACCTGCAGCAGATATTATAGAAAAACAAGTCAGCCCCGTTGTTCTTATGTGCTATAAACTTACAAGTCCATTCAAATGTGAGGAGATTATACACATTAGCTAGCAATGCTCATCGTGTAAGTTCTGTTCTACAAAATTTTCCAACAGGATATCCATAACCATACAAGGGTTGTGGGGCTTAGGCAGTAGGCAATTCAATTGCTGCTTACAGTCTAAATATTTTTCATGGATTATCGGGTATTCCTTACATTCATCCAGAACGCAACTTCTTTGTTTCTGAAAACGCTATCCTGCCCTATTATCATCATCAACATCAACATCGCCTTAGTCCCAAGTTTATTTGGGGTCGGCCGCATAGATTCTTCGTTTCCACTCATTATCAATTAGATTAATCAAACAAATCTGGCTATGAACCGGACTCCAGACAGTAATTCCTTGGATTTCTAATTTTGTAAATCATAAAGGGTATAATCAAGTAACGGGACTGACCTCAGCACACTGCTCCTCGATTTCATGTTTCAGTTTGAGCACGTACTCACAGCTCACATCAATATTATTCAAAGCTGTCGCAATCTCAGTTCCAGTCTTTTCCACGCCAACACCACCCAAGAACAACCTCGCCCCAAGGTTTGGCTCTCTAATCTTCTGTTGCAAGGCTTCGTGATAATCATTGCCTAACAAGCTACCAGCATTGCTCAATAGAGCAATCACAGAACTAATGTTCGAAGTTGAAATCGCTCTCCGCAAGCAGCTCTGTAACACATAGAACACATCATCCACCATGGAGGTGGTAAGGCTATCGGGCACATGCTCGTCAATCCTAATAGCTTTCCTCACATTCTCAACCATAAAGAATCCTTCTAGAATAACATAGAATCCAGTTACATCCTGAATCACTTTGCTAAAGCTTCCACTTCTAAATGCTTTTGTCGCCCTCGGCACCAATTCAGGATCTACTGAAGTCAAAGACTTGATTTTCGACACCATAAACTCAGTGTAGTCCTCACCCAACTGCATTAATGAGAGTATCTCCTCTACATACAGCTCAACGTCCCTGGGGTCTGGCCCTTCAGGCTCATCACCCGCGAGCAAATTCAAATTGGGAGAACTGTTAATCTCAGAAGCCAATCTAGCCAGTTTCCTATACTCCATGTACTTCTTCAAGATCAAAGAACCTCTCGAGTCGCATTCCTCTTGTAATTCACAAATTGCATAAACAATACCATCTTCGCCGCAAAGGCCCCTCAAGATCTCGTCATTTTCTTCGATAGCCATGACAATGTCCTTAAACAAATTGGTCAAGCACCCAACGAAATTCACCTGCCCGTTTCCTTGCTCCATCAGCTCAACCAAATTCTCGTACTCCATCCGCGATCTCATCGCGATGACCTTCTTCAGGTACCCAACGTAAACCTGTAAACCTTCCTCCTCCATTCCCAGGGGGGAATATAACCGGACGAATCTCAGGATCGTAGGATGATCCCTCAGATCGATGGCCGCCAATAGCTTCTTCTTCACAATACCTTCAAGCTGCTTCTTCGAAGCCAGAAGCTGTTCTCTCTGGTCGGAACCAGAATCCTTGTACTGAGAATCGATCTGGAGAAACCTCTGCACAAACTTCGCGGCGGACTCGTAATCCTCCGATTCTAGCGCGGTATTCACGCCTTCGATACAGTTTCCCCTCTCAACGATCGCGTCAATGCGGGAGAGCGTGTCGTTCACGCGCGACTGGGCAAGATCGAGCTCCCGTACCTTGCCACTGACCTGGTCGGCGAGATCGCAAGTGGATCGGACATTCCCGAACATGTGGTCGGCATCCGCCTTGACGATGTCGAGAATCTCGGCGGATCTCTGAAGCTGAACAAGATGGCGATCAAGCTCAGTCCGCTGCGAGAGAAGCGTGTCGAGATCCGAGTCGAGGCTTCGCTGGTACGCGATACACTCGTGGAGAAGACGCGTCATGGCGCCGACATCCGTGAGCGACCGGACATACTCGAGAGCTTCCGGCGTACCGAATTTCACGACCGATGAATCCGCCGCCTCCGACGCCGCGTCGTCTTCATCGAGCTCCGGCAGCCTCGTACCCGTCATCGATCCCATTGGAACCGGTTAATCCCGTCTCTTCTTTTCTCCGTAATCGGAAATGCTCAGATCCGATCAAAAGTACACAACGAGCCACCACCCAACCATAAAGAACCTCTAAATAAGTTAGAGGGTTTGAAGCACTAAAATGACTCCCGAGCTTTAATCACAATACAGTAAAGAAAGTAGGCCCAATGTATTAAATGGGCTTTAATTTGAAGCCCATAAAGGCAGTCTGACATGGAAGAATTTCAGTGACAAAGAAGACTGCGAACTGGGTCCGACCGAACCCGAAACAACCCGACCATCCCATGCGTCTTGTCCTTGTGTTGTGTCGGTGCGGTTTCCAAATAGCTTAAAATTATTTAAAAATATCAATACATACAGCAATTTTATTACTAATAATAAAATATATATGATTATCTTATGATGGGAGAACAATATAATATCTCTGATCTGGTTACTAGTTTTTCGGATCTTCTGTAAACGAAATTATTTTCTAATCTATATTTGTTTTAGCTGGTCAAACCACATTTCACAAAGATTCAGTTGAACCATCTATTATAACCAGAAGCCATGTTGTGGTGCCCCATTTGACCGTGCCATCTCTTTTGTAACAGAGTTATTATTATATAGATTTCATACCGCGTGGCCATTTAATATGCAGAGAATAGAAAATTAATAACACCAGATCCGGTCACGTGAATCGGTTGCACCGAGATTTGGACTCTTTTGAAACACCCAGGACAATAAAAATAAAACAATACGACAAAACTCTCTAATGATTTTTCAATACACATATACACATTATATTACAGGCGAACTTGCGATTTTATTACCTCGTGTCTTCTTTCTACGTTCTTTTTACTATTTGACGCCGCAACTGTAAGGCTAATGTTGCCTATGATTATATATTATCCGCTGGCGCTGTTAATTATTATTAACTTAGCTTAATCACGGTCCAAACCCATTTAGAATCGACATAATTATCTAACAAAGGTCTCGATAAATATACTCTAAACAAGAGTGTTTAATCCTAAAGCAAAACCAAAAAAGTCCACCTCTCCGTCTCTTTTTCCAGTCTCTTCTTCTTCTTCTTTCTTCTTCTTCTTCTCCAACAAAACCCTAATACTCTATCATCGAGGCTACATACACATATATACACGCATATACACGGAGAACAAAAAGCAAAGCTCCATGGCTGAAGGTCACGCAAAAGCAGAGCACGTAGCCAGAGTCGTCGAGGAACAGCAGAAACGTCCGGAGAAAGCCGTCTCCTCCGCCTCTTCCTCGCCGGAATCCTACGGCAAGGAAGACGGCGGTGGAGGAGGAGGCGTCGGCCGCACCGTTGCCGCCGTCATCTTGACGGGGCTCTTCCTGGTGGGTCTGACGGCGTTGATCGTGTGGCTCGTGTACCGACCGCACAAGCCAAGATTCACCGTCGCCGGAGCCGCCGTGTACAACCTCAACTTCACGGCGGAGACTGTCATCTCCACATCCGTACAGTTCAGCGTCTTGGCGCGAAACCCGAACCGGAGAGTGTCCGTACACTACGACAGGCTGAGGATGTACGTGACGTACAGGGACCAGATGATAACGCCGCCTGCGGAGTTGCCGCCGCTGAGGCTGGCGGAGAAGACACGGAGTGCCGGTGTCGCCGGAGGTGGCGAGCGGGCTGAGGATGGACGGGTCATACGGCGTCGTTTTGATGAGGGTCGTGCTTCAGGGAAGGCTCCGTTGGAAGGCGGGCGGGATCAAGACTGGACGGTACGGATTGTACGTGACGTGTGATGTGTGGCTGAGATTTAAGAGAGGCTCCTCTGGTCAAGTCCCTCTTCTTGCTCCGTCAACTTGCAAAGTCGATATCTGAATATTACTTAGTTTTTTTTTTTTTCGTTTTGTATAATTACTTGCAAATTTTTGTAGCGTTTTGTTATCTAAATATTTGAAATCTGTAATCTCTGTTTTTTTTTTCTGGGTCGTTTGTTGTCAATCTTTTTTATTTTATTTCAAGTCATCGTTTGTTTAAATGCTTATAATTATAATATTAATTATTATAGTATGGTAAAAGATTTCGGATCTTGAAGAGAGACACAGGAGAGGAGGGTTTTTTTTTTTAAATCAATATTATAATTTAATTAAGACAGACGTTATTGTCGGTCGAGGGTGCTAACTACATGGCAGTCAGTGACGGATCTGCACCAACAGCTCATCACCATGTTGCTCAGACGCTTGTCATCCCCATGCAAATCTTATCTCTATATATACATATAATTAAAATTAATTAACAGCAGACTATCCCTTCCGTATTCAAAATGCTCTCTCATTTGTGTAATTAAGCATTTTATTCAAACCTTAACCCAATTCGAAGTTATATTTAATCAAACTAAGCAAAATCTAACGGCCCATAACACTCTTCGATTGACCACATCCACGATATAGATTTTGTTTTATGCAATTTTATTTTATGGCACGGGAATAAGGCAGTGTGGGCTTTGAGTTTTGTTATTGGGCCGGAAAATTTTATCCCGAAACCAGCATATATTCCAACGAAAGCTAAAACCAGTGAATGACTTTTATCTTTGTTATATATATTGTCGTGGAAAAATTGAACATGGGCATCTCCCATTACTTTGTAGATGGTTAAGTGTGCATCTTCGGACCAAGAATCTATTCTCAATGGCGTGATTAATTTGGTTGGTCGTAGAGAATATATATATTTAATTATAATATGTATATATATATATATATAGATTGATTTATAAAAATTAAAACGTAGCGCGATTTAAATTGTTCAAAGATTCGATGTGAATCTCTTACGTATTTTGTTCGTTAAATATTGTAACGAAATTCACTATACGTTACAGAATACGAATAAGCAATATTTTTCTTCTTCTTAAAATGGAGAGCCCTAATGAATCATCAAATTATGTTACATATATAACTCATAAAACTCTGCTTTGAATATGTCCAGAAATAGAGTTCTATACTTGAACTAGGGTGGCGGTTCGAAAAACGGTTTGGGTTTTCGGGATGAAAATACATCGATTCGATTTTTTTGGTTTTACAAAAATAGGTACCAAACGGTTTTTATATTATATTCGGTTCGATTCGATTTCGGTTCTGTCTCGGTTCAATTTTATTTTTTTTATTAAAAAAGATAGATTTTTTTTAAAATTTTTCAGTTTAGTTCGATTCGGACCGAACCAATAGGTCCATTCCTAGCTTGAATGGGACTTTTATCCAAAAATACTGTCATTCAATTTACCAAACTGCCCCTGTTAACTGAATTTACCAAATTACCCCCGTTACCTTTCAAACGAGTCAGAGGCTTTTTTTTTTTTTTTTTATGAACGATGATACGTATATCTAATTCTTTGTACAAACCCGTCACGGATTATTTACACGACCGACAACTCGTTTTCCTTTGCTATATTTTTTTATCGGAACAAATTGATTAAAACTTGAGTCGAGGACAGATATATTGGTCTCTTAAGCAGCTTTCACTACGTACCTCCACTTAGTTCCATCATCAAAATATGATTAGACACAATATTCCCTGTTCCATTTCAGTAAAGCTTACATATACACACACACACACATATACATATTTGTATATATTAGGTTTGACGCTCGTAGAGGATTCAGTTACTTAATGTCGGGAAAAATGTTATGTTTTTATGAACATTTCTCGACAAATGTTTCGAAATAACATATTTAATTTGAGCGTAGTTAATAATTCAAGCAGTAGTGTATAAAACTAATTAACTGTCGATATTAACAAAAAGTATTAGTAGAAAAAAACATCTTACATTTAAAATTTGAGTATCTATAAAAACCAATTATTGAAACCATTTTCAACATGTTTTGTTTTTTTGGACGGAGAAGGGTGTGGTCGGACAAAGAACAGCAGCAAAGGTGGCAATGACATGGCGTTGTCCATTATGAAGAGAGGACCCGTCTTCATTTCCTTTTTTTACCATCAAATCGCATATTATTATTATTATTATTATTATTATTATTATCATTATTATTATTTTCAATAATTTTTTTTTGTTTTAATGGGATCGGTGATTACTGTATTTGGTCTATACGTATAGAGATGTCTAAGAGAGTTGCCCATCACAAAAGGAGGTGGTGACTCACATGAATTCAGTGCTCACTATATTTCCCGAATGCATATTTTGCTTATATTGAGCTCCAGCTGTTAGGTTAGATATACTTCTAAAACCGGTTTGACTATATATGGGTACGTAGATTTTTTGCAATGGAAAATACAAAAAAAGAACCAAAAAAAAAAAAAGATCGCCATTGGATTTAGGAAAATATATATTAGTTGATTGATGGGTGATCCAAAAAAAATATATATAATGGGTCGTAAACTTAATTTTACCATATGACAAATTTAATTTTTTTTTTATGGAGTCATCTAAAAGCTTTGTTTAAAATTTTACAAATTTTATAAAGAAATTAATTTTTTTATACTTAAATGAATGAGGGGTTTTACGCCATATTCAAATGATTTGAATGTAGGTCGGCCCATGGTTTTGCTCGTATATTTAATTTTTCATATCAATATCTTATAACTTGTAATAATATTTCTGTTTGTAGAATCCAACAGTGCTACTAATAAATGGTTTACTTCAAATCCTCATGAGAATTTGGTTGGGCCTCTCGTAATACTTTTTTTGTAACGAGTTTCTAGTTTTCGGGCCAATGGGTTTCATTAAACTTAAATTAAGAATCCTGTCTTTGTATAGAGAAGCTTAGTTATTTGTCTCCAACTCATGCCGTAATTTGATAGAGGGAACAAATATGTTAGTGTAATATTATTTATACATGTTGTTACATTGTTTTGGTTGTTAAGTGGATAATGCAAGTTCAACAATCTGGAGAGATTTCAAGAGAAAAATTCGGAGAGATAGAGTTCGAGAAATTCTGAGATATATTTGAAGAGTTTCAAATAGAGTCAAAGACTTAAAGAATTTCAGATAGAGTCAAACACTAAAAAGATAGAGATAGATAGATGCGAAATCAGAGCAAATCAAGGAGAACTCTATCAAATCAATTCGTGGAGATCTAAAACGTGCAAGAGGAACCTATATAAAGGAAACACAAGCTACATATCATTTCTTACGGAGAACAAAACAAATTTTATTAAAGATAGTTTTTCTGTTAGTGAGTGAGTACTCGCTTTTTGAGTGAGTGTGCGTCTGAGGCGGAGACCGATTGGGCAAATCTTCTTTTGGTGAGTGTTTTGGGCGTGAATCTGGGGGAGATCTAATGGAAAAATCTCCGTTCTTTTGGTGAGCGTTTATATTTAGTAAGGTTTTTTATTGTTAGAATTCATTGTGAGAGTGAGTTGAAACTTATAGAGGGAGTTTCATGTGGGTGTTTGAGTAGCTATAACACAAAATAAATTGTACTTGATATTTTTTTTCAAGTAAATAGAACAGATTAGTTTTTACGTTTTAGTCTTGAATGTCTGACTTTTTTCAAAATACATATCAGTAAATAATAGTGTAAACAAATGAAATATCAATTTTGTCAATTCACACGTACCCTTAAGCCATGTATAATCTAATAATAACTAATGCAAATCGTAGAAATCCATTGAAGATTTGTCGATTATATATATTATTAGCCAACATATGTTGATTAATTGCCAATTAATTAATTATGTAAATTTGAACGACAGAATCATGGATCCTCGTTAACTCCTATGTTATAAAGTTTTTTTTTTTTTTGTAGTTGATGGTATATCCATCACTATCTTTATAATTAGTGGATTCGTGAATGGATTGATTAATTGCCCCTAATTGGTACTTTTTTAGTAATGTCGCAATTAGAGATTCCATTTTAAAAAAAAATCATATCTGAATATCTAAAACTCATTATAATCTTTCGCATTTATTCACGCAATAACGATTTTGGACGTCCACATCTAACACATTTTTATATATTTGTAACAAATTATGAAATATTCAAGAAATGAACAAGAGACCATTTGTGTTCATAAACCATTCTAGAATATACCTAAGATAAACTAATATATCTAAAGATGCAATAACGCAATATTCCATTTAGGGAATTATATATATATATATATATACACGTATATATATATAACAATTATGTGGTGCAGCTATATATAGTTGAAATAGTGAAATGATTTCGGATTAGAATACGATATTGATATGTGATCACATATCTCCATCCACCACGACCAAATTAACTATTGTCACCACCATACAAAGAAGTTGTATAAGAACGAATATATATATATATATATATGTATGTATGTGTGTGTGTGAAATTAATCCACGTGCTATATAAGTCTCTATCTTGTTGGTAAATTGGTATCATTACGGACACCTAACTATATATGTGTAGTAGCCGATCATATCATCATTACATTTCATCATAGTCTTTCTCCACATCCTTTCTGCCTTCTTTTTTTCATTGGATTGCATTATTTTATATATCGGGTGATTATTTAAATTCCAAATAATTAAATGGTTTCAGAGTCAGCGATGCTCTATTTTGATGCCTTACCATATCAATTTCGGGGGAGGGTCCGTCATTAGTTAGTAAATTACCTAAACATTATTTAATATATACGTGATTCTGTTTACATTCTTCAAAATAATTCTAATGCCACTTCTATATATATAAAAGAAGATCCACTTATATTTGTTATGTAATTTGTAAATGTTAAATATATATATTTTTAATTTCAAGTTTGGATTATTCAATATCTGGTTTCTCCCGTCAAAACATCTAGCTTCAAATACCTGATTTTATCTCGACCACATAAAATAAAGCATAGATATCGCAAGTGATTTTGGAATATCATTTGGGCAAATATTCTACAATTTTATAGTTTTTATTTTACTAAATCATGTGATATGTAAATTAATTAGATATAGAAATATGTGGTATGAAATTCCACATGGCCGACCAGTTAGATCCGTAATGGTCTACGTGGCCATCCTGTACTTAGTGTGTTACATGTCAACCCATTGTATTCGATCTTTTACATTTCTCTCTCTCTCATCTCTCTAGTTCTCACTTTCTTTATCATCACGTTTATTATATAACATATCTGTATTTTTTTAATCGATGTCTATATATACATTTGAATTGAAAGAAAAATAAAAGTGAATCGGATTCTAAATATATCATACAAATTACAAACTTTAGGAAAAGATTAGAATTTTCAATTTGGTGGAATGCAATGAATTAGTATTTTTTTTATAAAAGAGATGAATGTGAACGGGTTTACGTCTATATATGTTGCCAGAAAAACGAATATATTCATTTTTTATTTTTTAACGAAACCTTGTGTGCTTTATAATATTTTCTTAAAACTGTTATATATATATATATATATATATATATATATATATATTGGGATTCTCCTGACCTAATTAATAAAAAAAAAGAATATTGCATTTCCGTCATTCCAAATTTTCATACATACACAAATACGTGTATATATGTATATATATATAGACGTTAAATCATTACCTTCTATTTTCCGAGCTGGAAAATTATTCAAAGTTTCTTTTTCGATCCAAAATTTCTCGTCTTTTTTTTTTTTATGGAGATAGACGTTTTCCCCGTTCAAAAAGAAAATAAAAACAGCTTATTCTAATATATATATATATATATATAGAATAATTGTATATGGTTTAATTCTAATTTTAGGATACAACAAGGATAAATGGGAGCAATATCGAACCTATTTCTCATACAACAAATTAATTCGGGATAAAAGAGGACTAATGATTCGTATAAAACGAAAACTAAGGACACGAACAAACTGTGACAAGCAGATTCGGCGTGTCTCAAATACCGGAGAGATTTCAGATGAACTATTAATTTTCTTTATATTATTTATATTCCCATTAGGGAACCCATACACGAATATCAGCCACATGCTCTTTTCGCATTAAAAAATATATAATAAAGTTAAATAAAAAACGAAATCAACGGTATAGTCCACGTAAGAAAAATATTTAGCAAACCCACCTATCATTTTATTGGTAGATTTATTACAGAATATTTTACTGTTTGCTAGCTACAATTTCAATTTCGGTCCATATATATATATCCTAGTGCTAAACTCGAAGCATGTATATACTGGCAGGCAGTGTGTTTTGTAAAGATTACCAGAATCTCTATATTTGCGCGAGTTTAAGATTTCACTAATATAAACGATTTATTTTTGCTAAAGGGTTAAATTACCTTAGACGAATAATTAATTTGGTATAGCTCCTAATTATCTCGTATTGCTTATTCTTATAGTTAAAGCCAACATGTAAAACAACCGGCCGGGTATTGATCTGAAACCAATGCAAAGAGGACTTAAGATGCAACAACGTAGGGGATCTCCCCCACCTCAGTTGGTTTGAGAGTCCACTTTCTAAACAAGAGGTCGTGGGTTCAACACCCAGAGTATGGAGATTTCTCCTCCGGCCACCTTCGGGTGTCTCACATCCCACACGTGTGGTGTCGGTTGTGCGTGTAGGTCGGGATTAGTCTGGGCCCTTTGAACCTAGGATTACCCGGTTATAAAAAAAAAAAAGATGCAACAACGTATCGTGACAAGCTCTTAGGCTATCTATTGTAAAATCTTGACTTTATTATCAACTTTTTGAAATTTACGCGCATAGAATAAAATAAAAATTACAAGAAATAACATTTAATTTCGAGAGTCCAATGTGGCCAGCACCCATAAAACTTTCTTATAAATAGGAAGAGAAGAGGAGCCCTTATGCTCGCCAAACTCAAATCATATATACATATACATATATACAGAGAGAGAGAGAGAGAGAGAGAGAGAGAGAGAGAGATGGGAGGAGAGAGGGCAGAGCAGTGGGCAACAGTAACAGTAATGGCGTTAACAAATGTTGCAATGGGGTCGGTGAATGCGTTTGTAAAGAAGGCACTGGACGATGATATCAACCACATGGTCATTGCTTCGTATAGACTTGCCATTTCTGCTCTCATCTTGGCTCCCTTTGCCTATTTTTGGGAAAGGTGTGTATACTATATAGTCTTTTACACCCCTATATCATCCCACGAATTTATTTATATATAATAATTAATTATCCAAGCTCGAAATATTGGAACCCAAACTCTTTCCGCGCGTGCATTTTATTTTATTAGTGGAAACATCAAAGTCAGTTGATTTGATAAATTATAGATTCAATTACTATCTTGTCGCCACTTATCCATGTTCGCAAAAAAGTATTCCATTAGAAAAGATAACTTCTTAGTTAGAAATAAATTCACAAATAAATATGTGTTTGTATATAAACATTAAATATACAAGTTTTTAATGTTTTATGGTGGGTGTTTTTCAATTTTTTTTTTTGTATATTTAATAGGAAAGTAAGACCAAGGCTAACATTTTGGCTATTGTGCGAACATTTCATCAGCGGTCTTCTCGGGTTCGGCCTTTCAATCACCTTTCTCTTGTTCCTATTTGAATGGTTCTTTATTTTTATTTTATTTTTATCATTTAAACGTACGAAAATTGAAATTATTTATGGCAAAAAATTATATGTATTGACGATATATAATATCCATTAATATTCATGTGCAGTGCAAGCCTGCTGCAGTTCTTCTTTCTACTCGGGCTTTCGTACACGTCGGCAACTGTCTCTTGCGCCATACTCGGCATGTTGCCTGCGATTACGTTTACTTTGGCCCTCATTTTCAGGTGGACCGATTATTTATACCACAAACCGTATCTCATTTCCTCTATCATATATTACATGTATATGTAATTAATTATATGCTCGGGAATCTTGAAAAATGACGTCATTTTTCGTTGGTGTTAGGGTTGTTAATAATTTGACTTCATTTAAACTTCCATACTAGTGGTTCAATACAAAGTGATTGACATCTTGATTTTGTCCATTAAAATTGATTTTTTTTATGGATAAAAAACTATAAATAAGAGGTTTACGTACATTTAAGGTCTTTAAGCCTAGGGATTATTTAGTCATATACACCATCCCAAAACTTCAGATCAATTCATACGTATCGATTCAGTCATTTAATTATATTTCCCGCAATATCATATTATATGTTTAATATTTTAAATATTGAAGATCACGTTTTTAGGATTAAGAAGAATAATTCTCACAGTTGAGTCGTTTGATCATTGAAAATTGTGTTTTTCTTTCTCTATTCTTTCCTCTAATTTATCCCATGTTTCTATTTAAACTGTCGTGTCAAGTCAAAAAGAAATAAAAAAATATATTGTCGGAATATATATATATATATATATATATATATATATATATTGTCTATTCATATGATTTTATCACCAACTTGAGAGTTGCCAATGACATACGACAAAGAATGTCCGTCTAGAGTAGGGGTTGTCATTTCGGGTTTCGGTTCAGGTTCGGTTCGATTATATTCGGATTCGGTTATTTCAGTTATAGAAAAATTATAACCATTCAGTTTTTTATAAACTTTGGTTCGGTTCGGATTCGTTTCGGTTTTGGTAAACAATTCATTTTTTCAAAGAAATTATCTGGTTTTTCGGTTATTTTTTTTATTCGGTTCGGTTTGGTTTCGGTTTTTTCGGGTTTAAAAAAATCATAATCGTTCGGTTTTGATATCGGATTCGATTCGGGTTCGGTTATGTCTTATTCAGTTTGGTTCGGCTCGGTTATTCGATTAATAACCGAAATGACCACCACTAATCTACATTTCAAAATCAAAATCACTTCCTCTGCTTTTCTCATATTTTCCCTTGTGTTCTCTTTTTTTTATAGCTTTTTTAAAAATGATAATCTCTTCTCACTTTTCAACGGAATATAGATAATTAATATTGTTTTGTCTTATATTGTTTAAAGATCGGAAAGCTTGAATTTGAAGAGCAAGGCAGGACTGCTCAAGGTGTTGGGAACCCTAATATGCATCAGCGGAGCACTCTTGCTGACGTTTTACAAAGGATTGCCGATATCGAACCCTCGCTCTCAATCAGAAGGTTTCTCGGACGGCTCACAACAGCAGCAGCATCACGATCCGAAGAAATGGCTGTTGGGTTGTACGTGTCTACTCGTCGGCACCACGTTTCTGTCACTGTGGATGCTTTTTCAGGCAAAGCTAAACATCAGCTATCCATGCAAGTACTCCAGCACTTTCCTCATGTCCGTTTTCGGCAGTCTCCAATGCGCTCTCTTGAGTTTGACCCAAACCAGAGACCTCCAACGTTGGATTCTCAAGGACAAATTCGTCATACTCATCATCCTCTACGCTGTAAGTACATTCATATAATTACTGGTACCTACGACATAAAATGTGGCACGTGCGTCAGGGATGCAGAAGGATCGGCTCGCCAGTTCGTTTTTGTCCACCTAAAAAAATATATATATAAAAAAAAAACGGGTCCGGCGAGGCAACTCATCACTAGAAGTGTCAATTGGGCCGGTCTCGATCCGAACCAGCACTCGGTCTGAAAGTTTCGAGCTCAGACTCGAGCCGACCCGAATTTTTAAGGGTCTATAAAATTCGGATTCGGATCGGATGGTACCAATCAACTTAATATATATATATATATATATATATATATATATAATATTTTTATGTGTTTTTGAATTTATCTTTTTTAAACAAAATAATCGGGCTTTCGAACCGGCCTAGAACTTGTTGGGTTTAGTCCGATAAATTCCAAACCCGAAAGTCCAAAACTTTTCGGACCTATATTTTTAAGTATAAAGCCCAATATTTTTCCGATGGATTCGGATCGAATTTCGGACTTTGGACCAAAAGTGATACCCTTACTTGTAACTAGCCGACCTCGTCACAAACTAACTCGGTCGGCGCACAATTGGCTCACGAGCCATAATTTATTTCCAAAAAAAATATATTATTTTTATTTTGTTATTATTTAAAACATTTTTCATATATTTTTTATTGTTTAAAATTATTTTATTATTTTTAAATACTTTTTTACTCTACGCGAGCTGAAACCATATGGATCGCGTCAGAATTTTTTTTGACTCGTGAAAAATGGATCACAATCGAGACGGGTCCAAAACGGACCGAGCTAGCCGTTTTGCAGCCCTAACGTCCATGCTTTGTTCGGATAGTCACGAATCATTAAAGAGTATATAATATAATATATGATAAATATACACCTTTTATTTTTCATCAAGATATTAATTGAAAGTTTTTTTATAAAAAAAAAACGGGAATAGGGAGTGGTGGGTCAAGCTATGTCGACGGTGGCCACGTCATGGGGCATAAAAAAGAGAGGACCCGTTTTCGCATCAACGTTCTACCCCGTCATGCTCATCTCCGCCACCTTATTCGATTTCATCATCTTACACCGTCAACTGTACATCGGAAGGTGCATTCATTAATTTCTCGATTTTTTTTTGTATATAAACGATATTTATTTATTTATTTATCGAAATAATTAAATATCTCCCGTGACCCAACCAACGTTTCGATTTGGTTATTTCCATGGATCAGTATACTCGGTTCCGTCGTCTCTATAATGGGCCTCTACGTGTTTCTCTGGGGCAAGAACAAAGATATCGAGGCCGTGGCCAAGTTGTCTTCGCAGAAAGAGAACGACGAACATGTTAAGACCGTAACTGAAGACGATGATACGAGGTTACAAGTTTAATATTCATATAATCCTCTGTTTGTTATTGAATAAAGCATGTATTATATATTATTATTGTTATCTGTTCCTACACGGGATTCATCAGACGATCATAATAATAATTCTGATCTCGATTTTTGTGCATTTATTATTGTTTTTTTTGGGGTTATTTATGTTCGTGTACATGCATAAAGTAATAATTTGAATCATTTGCCAAAAAAAAAAGTCATAATTCGAATGTATATATGATGGTGCGTTTAAATTTATTATTTATATAAGGACATTTCCCGTCTTTATCTCATTTTCCTCTTAACTCCAATGGTAATGGTGTGATTTAGAGGTAACCTAATCCTTGCACCTTACTGTAAACTTGTAAAGTTATCTAAATATGCGACTGAAATTAAATAAAAGTAAAATATAATCATAGCATATATTACACGATAATACAAAATTAGGAAAAATACGATAAAAGAGGGAAAAGGAATTGGGACCGGCCAGGTTTGGATTCGTTCCATTAAGGGATTTTATACATATTGGGCCTATTACATATATCCATTTATAAATTTTGGTCCGACAGTACATTACATAAGAAGATTAGACAAATATTGGGCCTTTGTATTGGACACATATGTAACCCATTTACAATCTCATAATAAGCGGAGTTAGCATTCTTCATGCAACTTTTTCCACATACATTTTCGAACAAAAAAAAAACTTAATTAACAAATTTTTTCACAAAAATATTTTAATTTGAAAAAAAATTCCTAATTCTTTCTAAATCATGTGAACATTAACAAATTATGAGAAACGAAATTTCATGAAAATTATTACTTGATGCTGTCAAGGCGTCAACTACAATCTAAAATTCAGAATTCAATGTTTTTTTTAATGTAAAGAAAACAGACAAATATACTTATTTTACTTGGGAAAAAAAAAAAAGTTTGTATGCCCTCTAACCTTTTATTTTTCTTTCCCACTCGCTTTATCTTTCCTTTGCTTTTTCTCGTGAAAAAAAAAAGAAATGTTTACGAGAAAGAACAATAATAAAGAATAAAATAAGATATTAAAGGAGATATAAGGCATAATTACGTAGGTTAAAACAAAGTGAAGAGAGAGAAGTGAGTGCAACGTAATTAGGGCAAATACTTTGGTAGAACCGATAGGCTTTTAGGCACCTTTTTTTTTATAAAAAAAAAAGTTATTTCGTTGCCAAAAATCTGATTTTATCATATTTTACAATACAGGAGATCTTGAGATTTGAACATGCGATGAGTTTTCAGACATAGAAGTCAAAGTCAAAAGTTCTAGAAGAAATAGTTTCCACAAAATGACGGAGATCCTGGTATAAATATATACATTGATATTTTTGTCGATAAAAATATCTACTCGTATATATCTACAACTCAAAAAATAAGATCTAAAGACAGTTTTTTCAAGTAAAAAAAAACCCTAACTTATATGCATATATATTCTATAACTATAAAAAAAAGATAAATTCCAAACCCGAAAGTCCAAAACTTTTCGGACCTATATTTTTAAGTATAAAGCCCAATATTTTTCCGATGGATTCGGATCGAATTTCGGACTTTGGACCAAAAGTGATACCCTTACTTGTAACTAGCCGACCTCGTCACAAACTAACTCGGTCGGCGCACAATTGGCTCACGAGCCATAATTTATTTCCAAAAAAAATATATTATTTTTATTTTGTTATTATTTAAAACATTTTTCATATATTTTTTATTGTTTAAAATTATTTTATTATTTTTAAATACTTTTTTACTCTACGCGAGCTGAAACCATATGGATCGCGTCAGAATTTTTTTTGACTCGTGAAAAATGGATCACAATCGAGACGGGTCCAAAACGGACCGAGCTAGCCGTTTTGCAGCCCTAACGTCCATGCTTTGTTCGGATAGTCACGAATCATTAAAGAGTATATAATATAATATATGATAAATATACACCTTTTATTTTTCATCAAGATATTAATTGAAAGTTTTTTTATAAAAAAAAAACGGGAATAGGGAGTGGTGGGTCAAGCTATGTCGACGGTGGCCACGTCATGGGGCATAAAAAAGAGAGGACCCGTTTTCGCATCAACGTTCTACCCCGTCATGCTCATCTCCGCCACCTTATTCGATTTCATCATCTTACACCGTCAACTGTACATCGGAAGGTGCATTCATTAATTTCTCGATTTTTTTTTGTATATAAACGATATTTATTTATTTATTTATCGAAATAATTAAATATCTCCCGTGACCCAACCAACGTTTCGATTTGGTTATTTCCATGGATCAGTATACTCGGTTCCGTCGTCTCTATAATGGGCCTCTACGTGTTTCTCTGGGGCAAGAACAAAGATATCGAGGCCGTGGCCAAGTTGTCTTCGCAGAAAGAGAACGACGAACATGTTAAGACCGTAACTGAAGACGATGATACGAGGTTACAAGTTTAATATTCATATAATCCTCTGTTTGTTATTGAATAAAGCATGTATTATATATTATTATTGTTATCTGTTCCTACACGGGATTCATCAGACGATCATAATAATAATTCTGATCTCGATTTTTGTGCATTTATTATTGTTTTTTTTGGGGTTATTTATGTTCGTGTACATGCATAAAGTAATAATTTGAATCATTTGCCAAAAAAAAAAGTCATAATTCGAATGTATATATGATGGTGCGTTTAAATTTATTATTTATATAAGGACATTTCCCGTCTTTATCTCATTTTCCTCTTAACTCCAATGGTAATGGTGTGATTTAGAGGTAACCTAATCCTTGCACCTTACTGTAAACTTGTAAAGTTATCTAAATATGCGACTGAAATTAAATAAAAGTAAAATATAATCATAGCATATATTACACGATAATACAAAATTAGGAAAAATACGATAAAAGAGGGAAAAGGAATTGGGACCGGCCAGGTTTGGATTCGTTCCATTAAGGGATTTTATACATATTGGGCCTATTACATATATCCATTTATAAATTTTGGTCCGACAGTACATTACATAAGAAGATTAGACAAATATTGGGCCTTTGTATTGGACACATATGTAACCCATTTACAATCTCATAATAAGCGGAGTTAGCATTCTTCATGCAACTTTTTCCACATACATTTTCGAACAAAAAAAAAACTTAATTAACAAATTTTTTCACAAAAATATTTTAATTTGAAAAAAAATTCCTAATTCTTTCTAAATCATGTGAACATTAACAAATTATGAGAAACGAAATTTCATGAAAATTATTACTTGATGCTGTCAAGGCGTCAACTACAATCTAAAATTCAGAATTCAATGTTTTTTTTAATGTAAAGAAAACAGACAAATATACTTATTTTACTTGGGAAAAAAAAAAAAGTTTGTATGCCCTCTAACCTTTTATTTTTCTTTCCCACTCGCTTTATCTTTCCTTTGCTTTTTCTCGTGAAAAAAAAAAGAAATGTTTACGAGAAAGAACAATAATAAAGAATAAAATAAGATATTAAAGGAGATATAAGGCATAATTACGTAGGTTAAAACAAAGTGAAGAGAGAGAAGTGAGTGCAACGTAATTAGGGCAAATACTTTGGTAGAACCGATAGGCTTTTAGGCACCTTTTTTTTTATAAAAAAAAAAGTTATTTCGTTGCCAAAAATCTGATTTTATCATATTTTACAATACAGGAGATCTTGAGATTTGAACATGCGATGAGTTTTCAGACATAGAAGTCAAAGTCAAAAGTTCTAGAAGAAATAGTTTCCACAAAATGACGGAGATCCTGGTATAAATATATACATTGATATTTTTGTCGATAAAAATATCTACTCGTATATATCTACAACTCAAAAAATAAGATCTAAAGACAGTTTTTTCAAGTAAAAAAAAACCCTAACTTATATGCATATATATTCTATAACTATAAAAAAAAATATTTGTTCTTGATAAGTTTTTCTTCTACAGATTTGTTGATAACCGCAAAATTGGAGTGTACATATATTTTTTCCACACAAGATTTAAGGTCAACAAGAACAAGTACGCCCATTTCCGTCTAATCTAATAACTAAAAAAGTTTGGCATCTCAATCATGCGTTAAGATTAGTGAGAGATCGATTTCTTGGTTACCCCTAACATATATATGTATTTGGACCTAATTTTAAAACGGAAAAAGAAAAAGCTTTCCTAATGTTGGAATTTTCCACTAACTCATATTTACATAGACCACGGATATAATTATTTGTATCTTATAGAAATGCTTCTTAGTAAGTGATAATAATATCTTTCTAATATAATTTTTGTATGTATTTTTCATAAGAAGGGTTCGAAGAATTAATCAGGAAAAATATATCGCTTACGTAAAAAAATACTGACATTGAAATTAATCAGTTAAATGGATAATATTATGCAATTAATAAAAATTTGGTGTAACGAAGGAATCTCTGAGTTTCAGAGCATTCGAATGTATAGCCACACACACACACACACAGAGAGAGAGAGAGAGAGAGAGAGAGAGAGAGAGAGAGAGAGAGAGAGATGCTCTCGAAACGTGATAATAGATTCTTTTTACCTATACCTGGCTCAAGAGAGACACGTGGGTCATCACGGGAATAATAATAGACACCGAAACGGCGAAACCCTAAACAGAACATTTTAAAAAATATAAATTAAATACAACTGTACAAATAAAGATAATAAAAATAAAAGGACGTTTACTTTCCCTTTATATATACTGCGTCGCCATGCCCAATGGATTCGTGCGCCTCCTCACTCGTACAAGCGATTTGTAGAGAGAGAGGGAGGGAGAGAGAGATTAATTATTAATTAATAGGTCGTTAATTAATAATTAATCATGAGTTATTGCGATGGAAAATGGACGCCGGTAATCATGATGATAGTGATTAACTCGGCAGTCGGCTCTGTTAACTCGATGGTTAAGAAAGTCCTCGATGGTGGTATTAACCATATGGTCATCGCTACGTATCGTCTCGCTATCTCCACCGTGTTCTTGATGCCAATCGCCTATCTCTGGGAACGGTTAGTATATACGTGTTTATAACATTTTTTATAATTATATCTATGTATATGTATATATATTGTAAATATGTTGTGATTTAAATCGTGCAAGTATTCTTGATCTTATGATATTTTCATGCGCTTACGTAGGAAAACAAGGCCAAAGCTTACGTTCAGCATCTTATGCCAGCTTTTCTTCAGTGCTCTTCTAGGGTTCGTTTCCCTCCCCCCCCCCCCCCCCCATTTTTATTAAACAAAAAAAAAACAAGTCTAACCGATTGATAATTTGATAATTTCGATTAGGGCAAGTTTGACGCAGTATTTCTTCTTGCTCGGCCTCTCGTACACCTCAGCCACGTTAGCATGTGCTTTCATGAGCATGATGCCCGCAGTTACCTTCATTATGGCTCTAATATTCAGGTAAATATCATATACACATAAGTAATTACACACACATGTATATATATATATATATATATATATATTTATATATATACGGGTTAATTACATCCATTAAAGAAAGAAATAAAAAAAGGGTTTTTTGTCACCACATAAACCATAATAATCTTTTCCAAAGCTTAGCAACATATACAAGAAAAGCATATATATATATATCTCTCTTTGCCGGGGAGAGAATACATACTTAATAAAGCAGCATACTTTTATCATCCCTTTAAGCAAATTAATTTTCATATTCCATTATAGTTGCAAAGCTGCCCCCACAAATACTTTTATTCGGAAATTAAAGTTTTTAAGCACTTGTGCAATCAAACGTCTATACACTAATCGTCTATTCTAATCTTCATTAATTACAATAACCCAAAATTAACCTCCATTTTTTTAATTTACATATAGATACAATATCAATTGAATTGCGCGTGTGTGGAATCTTGAAAACATTCTTGCAGGATTGAAAAGCTGAATATGAGAAGCAAAGCAGGGTTGGCAATGATGGTGGGCACTTTGGCATGTATTGGGGGAGCTTTGTTCCTAACGATGTACAAGGGTGTCCCGTTAACCGGCCGTCACAGAAATGCGAGCTCGTCATTAGAGAACAGCCATAGACCCGAGGATCACACGATGAAACCCGAGAATTGGATCGTCGGATGCGTGCTTTTATTCACGGGAAGCAGTTTCTTCGGTTCTTGGATGCTTATACAAGCCAAGATCAACAAGAAATACCCGTGCCAGTATTCAAGCACCGTTGTGCTATCCTTCTTTGGCACGATCCAATGCGCTCTTCTCAGTCTAACCAGATCTAGAGACGTTACAGCTTGGATCCTCAAAGACAAACTAGATGTCATAACCGTTGTTTATGCAGTAAGTGCATTTAAAGATTCTTCCTTGAAAGAGAGAATATAGAAGAGAGAGAGAGAGAGAGAGAGATGATCATTAAGGAATCTTGCAGATTTTCACGAGTCTATTCTTTAAAATGTTTGCAGGGAGTGGTCGGACAAGGAATCTGTACCGTGGGAATGTCTTGGTGCATCAAACAGCGAGGACCTATCTTTACGTCCACATTTACTCCCGTGACACTTATATTCGCAACGTTATTCGATTTCTCAATCCTTCATCGCGAGATTTATCTCGGAAAGTACGTATAATTTCCATATTAATGGACCGCCTTATATAACCTATCGATCCATGTCTAATATATTTTTTTCTTGGTAGTGTTTTGGGATCCGCCGTTGTTCTATTTGGTCTCTACGTATTCTTGTGGGGCAAAATCAAGCAAATGAACGAGTGTGCGACAAAGTTACCGTGCCAATTCGATGAAGCCGAAGGGGAAGAACAATATAAGAAAGGCCACCCCGTGGTTGTGCCCATGACTCCTTGATTGGGGATTATAGTTGTACAAGTTTTCGCAATCGAAATCCAGAAGCCTCTTTTCCATGTAGAAGGATATGAACATATTTTGATCATTTCCCGAACCCACTGAAACAAAGAATTAAAGAAAGAGTTTACTCTCTCGATCTAATTATGGTTTACTTTGGATGTAAACCCTCTCTAATAATGTTTTAACGATTATCCATTTGTTTTTACCAGTGTTAATCTTGTTTTCAGATAACAAAAATAATAATATTCAAATATAACAAAGATTTGATTGCTTATTATTTCGTGTATTTACTGTACCCACTTTTATTTATTTATTTATTTGGAATTCCGCTACCCCCAAGTTTATCACCATGCATTCGATTAGGTCAATATTGGACCCTCTAATCAAGTTATCAATAAATGTATATTTCTCAATGTTTTATGTTATAGACGTATAGCCCCTCACTTTATATAATATACATCTGTCTGAATTTCCCTATTTCTTAAATTTATTATTTTATTATTGATTTTAGAGGATATTCTATCCAGAAAGGTAGAGAAAACTCAATTTCCCAAAAAAGTAGATTCGACAGAAGAAAAAAAGGATTAAAAGCATATACGAAAAGACACACAAAGAGATATGTTATTTATGCGTATGGGTACGTATATACTTATACGTTCATTGAAAGGGACATACAATCGCTATATATACACATATATAGTATAACAATGTAACGATTAATATGTTATTTTGTGTTGTTAAAGCTAGAGACTGCGATTGCACAAAATCCCAGTTCGAGAGGACAGTTTGTGGCCATCACCACTTACCAAGTTTTCTTTAAGTATTAATTTAATAATACGCATAGGAAAACGACCCAATACGTTTAACAACCGCGCTGTGTATATATAATATATATATGCACACTTACGTAAATAATAATAACAATAATATGCAAACCCTTTGAACTGTAATCATTAATTGGGTTTTTTTAAAGGCCACTTGGTGCTTTTGTGATATTTTTAAGCAAAGTATATCGATAAACCATACTACTAGACTAGTAAATAATTCTCGAGGCTTTCGTCTCTTTTGACCACCAATATTGAACCATAAGATTTTTTTTTCATAGAAATCCAATAAAATATAATATATTACACGTGTGTTAATGATAAATTCCAGAGAAAAAGACATGCATGCATGCGTCTCCATTCAATACACAGCGTACGACAATGTGATTGGGTGTGTCAATGTTATACATATATTCGTTTATTATATAAAAAACACTAGCATATATATTACTCTATCCATAAATATTTATCAGGAAAAGATATAGTTTGGTTCTATAGATTTCGGAATCGGGTTCGGACTTGGATCGGACTGCACAATTTTCTTTGTAAATGTATTTTTTTTCTTAAGATTTTTTTTAAATATCGGGTTTTTCAGGCCGACTCGAATCGAGCCTAAAGTATGGAAAAAGGTGTAGGACTTTAGTAAAATAGAACAAAAAATGTCGAGCCAATCTTTTTTATCAATAACCTCAGACCAATCAATCTTGAGTCTGGCTCGAAAATCCGAAAATTTTCAAACCTAAATATCTCAGTCCGAAGCCCGCTATTTTTCGTGTTGGACTGAGACGGACCGGACGTTGGGCATCGGACCAAAATTGATACTCCTATCTATATCCAACTGAAATTCAATATATACATGGAAATTGTCATACATATATATATATATTATAATGATAAATTGACCAAATTGGGATAATTATGAAAAACATGTATAGGTTTGTGGTGGATAGACTATTAATCTAATGTTCTTTAGATGTCCTGACGAGATGATGGATGAGTCGCAATCAATATCAACCAAAATCATACACATATATATGGAGCAGAATAGCTAAGATGGTCCTTGATGGCAACGTACGTACACCCCCATGGTAAAGTGTATTTCCGTTTCAAGCATTATTGACCAGATAATCAGATATATCGTGGTATAGATAACGGCGTGAAAACATTGAAATAATGCATGTATTATTGTTATCACCATCATCATCATCATCATCATCATCATCATCAAAAGTGTACGTTATGGTCGGCGTCGTTCATGGGCGTCTTGTATCTTTTAGCTATAAAGGCACACGACATGCACGCAAAAACACACACACACACACACACACACATATATATATATATATATGCGTGTAATGTATACATATGTCATAATCACTCTGAATTGAATTGATTTCGATCCATTCGTTAGGTTAAAAAAAAGGAAATAGGAAATAAAAAACAAAAGATGATGCAAAATGCATAGTGCATTTAAAGGGCAATCCTTTTGACCGACGACTCCTGATATCAAAATTATTGAGCTCAACAGAGAATATTTTGGAGATTTTTTTTTATTTTTAGAAACACTTTTTTTTTTGTACAAACACTTTCTTGTCATTACACACACACATATATATATATATGTATATATATATATGTGTGTTCACTTTACGCAATGATTTCTCGAAGAGCTGAACGTTTGGATAAACTAGGACACCCATGATCAGTTGCAACCCCTCGTATCCATTTTCATCCAAAAATAAATAAAAAATAAAATAAAAACCCTTATTGTTATGCATATACGTGTATATATATATATTAAAGTTTGCACAAATTAATACGCGCACGAGCGATTAATTAATTTGTTAATCTCGAAATTAACGGATCGCACATGAGAGATAGTGTCATGCATGTATATGTACATAACATATATACACACCCTAAAATATGTAATCATGGTACGACATACCATATATATATACAATCCAAATAATTGTACGGATTTACAATTACATGAGTAGAACGTGTTTCACGGAGTACATTTTTAAAACAATATACATATGTATGGACGACAACATATTGTACATACAATATGAGTCAAAAGCTTGGTCATGTTGGTGGTTTGGTCGGTTTGTTTTTTTAAAAGAAATACAAATGTCTAAACTTTGGTACAAAAAGTTGTTAATTAGGCGCAGTCGAGATTGCAATACCCATTTATAACACGCAGAAAAGTCGTGTGACCTAGGCATACAAAAAAAACGCAAAGTCGTGAAATATGTAATTGTTTTAAAAATATAATTTAAAAGAAGAACAGAGAAAACGATCGAACGAATTTGAAAAATAAAATAAATTAAAGTGAAGGGGAGATTACCTTTAGTCAGCATTAAAGTGATATCAACTATATCTCTTCTCCATGCATGATTGAATGCCGTGATTAGAAATGGAAAGAATTCAATAATTGGAATGAAAAAAACAATATACCAAGGTCACTTGCACAAGTGGGAATCTTTTTGTTTTTTAATTATCGGAATTAATATTTAATAATATAAATATCAAATTCAATAAAATTTGATAAAACGACATGCTTATTTTTATTAAAAATTTAGATTTCAGTATATTTTTACGTTGATTTCTAAAATTTTAAACATTCATATACTTTATGTATTTTTAAAATGTAACAACAATATTCATAATTCTCGTTCGGCCAGTTTTCGCCTAAAACCTTTTATATAAAAGTTGAGTCGCAGATTTTGGATTGCAAGGACGTGGCAACAATACGAGGAAGTCATAGCGGGACGGAGACACCGTGGAACGTGGCACAATTTTAGTCATACGTCTACGAGAAGAAATACGTCCACACAAATAAAAACGTTAATTAAAAATTAATTCCTGTTGTCAATTTTTTAAATGAAGGGTTATTTTTTTTCGTGATTTTCCCCTTTACGGAGCTTAATAAATACCTTAATTTCATTTTACAAGAAAATATAATTTAGATAATAATATTAGTGTCCTATGTTTTACCCTATATATAAAAGCTTTCTTCGATATCATTTTCAGTCACTGAAGATTTAAAATTGTTTTATCTACAAGTACAGTTTGATTACTCCTTCTGAATCCTCAAAATTGCGGTCCATAATAATTCTAACCACTTATTTAGATTACAATTTCGGATATTATCGTCGTATTCTACTTTTGTCCCAAGAGGTCCTCGAAATACTTAACATGGGCCGAAAATATTGTTAATACACGCTGGCCCAAATTTGAAAAGAAAATAGTAGCAGTATGTTACGGCCCATTTACGGCCCAATTTCTACCTAAAGATCCAACGGCTGTTCATAAACGGCCCCCAATGCCGACAAGCCGCCACGTTTTCACCGCAGCCTTTTGCCAGAACAAGGGCAACCGGAATGAACCGCCACGTCATCAGTGGACCCCACGTACGCTTTTACGTACATGACCACCTTCACCCAAGGAAACTTGTGGCTGAGATTTGAAGATGGGAGTAGCAAGCAACGGGTCGAAAGATGCTGGGTGGGCGAAACAAAAAGTGCACCCATCTGCCACTTAAATAATGCCACGTGTCGTCTTCCGGTGACTTCCCGTTTTCCCATTTATGCCCTTCCTGCTTTTTCAGCCTCAAATTAAAAGGAAATTATAAAAAAATTCCCGAAATTTTATTTTGGTTGAAGAAAAAATAAATCTGGGAAAAATTGTAGTGGCTGAGATTGTTTCTGGCGTTTCGCTTCCGGTCTTCTTAGTCTTTGTTCTTCAGTTATCTGCTTCTTCTTCCTCCTTTATATTTTTCTCTGTTCCGGTGGTTTTTTAGAGATTTTCCGATCGATTATTGCCGGGAACGATGAGTTCTCCGGCGAGTTTTTTGTGAGTTCATTTGTTGCCCATGTCTGATCGCGTATTCTGCCGGTGCCGTCCGGAATAGTCATCATCCATGAATATTTGCAAAGGTATTTCGTTTATATTGTTAGTGATTTTTAGGTTTTCTGCTGCATCTTAGAATTTCTGTTTGGTTTCTGAGAAAATTCTGGAAAAAAATGATTGTTAAAACAACGTAGATTAGCTCTAAGTTAGCTGAATTATGGGAATACTATTGTTTTAGATTTGAGGAACCAAGATATAGGAGTAGAATGATTTCAAAGAAGATCCAGTAAGCACACAAATGGAGATTTGGAAATACTTGAAATTTTAAGCACGGGCATGCCTTTGGAGATGGTTAGTTAATAGTTACTGATTGAAGTTCTCTTTTTTTTTTTCATTCTTGTGTTGCAAAGGTTTTGGCTCCTACAGATTCGTTTGGGTGAGGCTTCCGTGAAAAGGAAATTTCTTTTGAGTTCTGCTGGGGAAGCGACTGTTTCCGCGGTGGACTTTAAAGATTTTCTTAGATTTAGTACTTTCAGTTTCAATATATATTACCGAAGTTTAGATATGCCATTTGCCTGAATTCGGATGCTTAATTGCGCCGACACGGACCAGAGGCGGATGGATCTTTACCCATTGTCATTGCTCTCTCTTTTGCAGTTGTTCTAGTCTTTAAGCAGGTCTTTCCAACTAGAACAACAACGGCTTTGCTATTCTAAAATTTCGATGTGGGGGGAGATGATAGATGGTTTCTCTTTTATACATTACTTGTTAGAGAGGATTTGAAGCAGCGGCAGCTGCCCAGGTCGGGTTATGGAAAAAAATATCTCTGGCGAAGAATTAGTAACTAAGGTAATACGCTTGAGTTGCATTTTTATCTTCCTCTGAAATCTGATTGCAGTGTAAAGATGCGGATGCATTTATTTTCTTTTTGTTATTGTTATTGTTCAACTTGGGATTAAGACGATGTTGATGATTGTTAGATAAGAAAGCCGTATACAATAACCAAGCAGCGGGAGCGGTGGACAGAGGACGAGCATAGTCGGTTCTTGGAAGCCTTAAGGCTGTATGGACGGGCTTGGCAGCGAATAGAAGGTCAAGCTTGCTTTTCTAATATTTTATATATGTCGGGTTATCTTCCTTTTGTTTGTTAGTTGGTTTATATTTTCTGAGAAAACTTATGAACTATATAGCGGACAGATTTCGATCTGTGTCTACCAATTGAACTTTTATCTTCTCTTGATGGGAGACGCCTCTTCTCTTCTTTCGTTTTTCTCTTATTGTTAATGTGCAGAGCATATCGGGACAAAGACTGCCGTCCAGATCAGAAGTCATGCGCAAAAGTTTTTTACGAAGGTTAGATGAGATATTCTTTCCTTCATCTACTGAATTCACTATTTACATCTTTTTACTGACTGACCTGGCATATACTATTTTACACATTTACATATACCTAGTGAAAGTAGCTTTGGTTGCATAACAGTCTTAAATTGTGATTATTTGCATATAAATTTAGTTGTTGAACAAGTGCAAACTTGAGAAAAAGGTCTTCGTAAAATGAATTTGTCTAAACTACTGCATTCTTGGGGAGGCATTGTTCGTGCTTGAGTAAAAGGTCTTCTTTCAGCAACCCTATGCTTGGAAAGCTAGCACATGGATGAGATTTGCTGTTGACGCTTCAATAGAGCTTCATAAGAAGTTGGTTAGTCTCAACATCCATTTGCTAATGAATCTCAAACCAAGTGAAGAGGCACGGAAAAGATGATTGAGGCTCTTCATGAGGTGCCTTCTAGTTGAACCGTTTTCTTGGTAGCTTGCTTCAACTCAATAAATTGTGGTCGGTTTGTGTCTCTAGGATGTCATCCTCTCTTGTTTGATATCCCTAGGTGAGCAGTAGGCTTATAGAATATGGAACTGCCAGTGCGCTGATTCCGCAGCTAATCCTGATTTTGTGGCTTGACCCTTCGGAGAACTTATGGAGCAGATTCATATAGTAACTGAAGTCCCGGATAGAAAGATAGGATACTGTGTGTTTGGCACGGTTCAGTTAGTTTGCTTCGGCTTTAGGTTGTTCATGGTTCCTTGCTTTGGCGATTTACTGAATAGTGGGTTCATGATATTCCTTCAGTAATCTTTGAGGCCTGCTGAGCTTCTCAGGTATACCAACACTTATACAATACAGATGAACGAACACTTTTTTAGAATGCCGTTTCATTTGTTTCTGAGAAGGGAGCTGACGTAGCACAGTAGAAATTCTACTAACCAGCACTTCTCTGAAAAAAATTCTCATGAATTGTGTTTCACAAATGGAAGTGCATACGTGATCCGCTGAAGTGATACCAGGTGTGATGTTTAGCTCTCAATCTGTCTATCTGAGACCTTTTTTTTTTGGCAATGTAAGGAATTTAAGAGCGTCACTGACTGTTTCAGCTCATCTCTCTAAACAACTTGCTGAAGAATTTGCTTTGGTCGATGAAGTGCTTATATGGATTTGGGTTCAAGGTGCATAAAGGGGCTGATGTATGTTCTCTACTATGGAGAGCAAATGTTGACTGTGAATATGTCTTGCTGGATATTTCTACCTATACAATTAGGGAGACCTGTTGCAGGTCCTTATATGTTTTAGAGGGTAGAAGCATAATTTGCTAGATGATAGGGCTGACCAAAAGAAACATAAGAAGACATGCATGACCAAAGATCTCCCCACATCACTTATTAAGTCGACCCAAAGTTTCTGTATCAGGTTTTGTTCTAGTGAAAGAATGGACTTGCATATGAATTCTTTTAACCATTCACTTGGGATAAAAGTTCCTGGAAACCTCTCTCCAGGCCATGAAGTAGTTTTGTCTTCCCCCTTGCCCCGAACCACAAAAAATTTGGGGTCGACGGGAAGGTATAAGATTAAACCTCAGTGCTATCAATTTCGTAAATCATGGGGTTTGACATCTGAGCTGCTTTTTGTTGTCATCTCCACTCTGGAGGGCTCACGGTTTTGTTCTATTTCAGTTAGAGAAAGAGGCTCAAGCTAAAGGCATTCCCATTTGTCAAGCTCTGGACATAGAGATTCCACCTCCACGGCCTAAAAGAAAACCCAGTAATCCTTATCCTAGAAAAACGGGGAATGGTGAATCTACATCACAGGTATCCTCAGCAAAGGTTGTCAAACTTGATTCATCAGCCTCTTTTTCACATTGTAATCAGGCACTGGATTTGGAAAAGAAGCCGTTCACTGAGGTTCTATGGCTGTCCCTCTTTCTCTCTTTTGCACTATCTTTACTTGTATCCTTCCTTTTTTTTTTGCCTTCATTTGATCGACTTGCTTGTGCATTTTTTGGTTAGAAGCCCAATGGAGTTGAGAAAGTACCAAATGGCAACGGAAATCAGGATGATAACTGTTCAGGGGTTTCGGCCCGTCCCACTGAAGCTCATTGTTCCTCCATTTCTTCAGTTAACAAATATCCCTTTCCAAACAAAGCGGCTCCTAGGAATCCTAGCTCCTTCCGGGAGTCTGAACCAGATCTGACAAAGGTATAAAATTGGATCAGATAGCCATGATACGAAGGGGAGCCGGTGCGCACCGGTTAAGGTGTTGCCGTTGTGATCTTGAGGTCACGGGTTCGAGTCCTGGAAGCAGCCTCTTGCAGATATTTCTGCAACGTAAGGTTTGCCTACAATACACCCTTGTGGTGGGACCTTTCCCCGGACCACTGCTCAACAGGGATGCTTTGTGCATCGGGCTGCCCTTGTCATAGCCATGATACCATCTTGAAGTTTTAGCATCTTGAAAATTTGTTTCTGATTTTCAACAGGCAACTGCAGATAATGGAACTAGTAAGACTTCAAATGCGGACAATTCTTGCTACTCACAAGATAATGATGCTAACGTCTTGCCCCACATAAGCATTAGCAAAGAGGATAATGGTGTTAATGGCTTATCGCCCGTTGGCAATATGAATGGAATTCAGAGCTACCCTTGGCATTTTCCAGTGCATGTTTTGAATGGGAATGTCGGAACATACCCTCAAAATCCTCCAGGTATGGGATTTCAAGACTTCATGTTTCGTCCTGTTGGAGAAGTTCATGGACACTCTGGCTTATTTACGATTCCATCTACTTCTGCTACTTCCCAACATCAAGACAACGTGCCTAGATCTTCTCGTCAAGCGTTTCCAGCTTTTCACCCTGCTTTTGTCCCTGCATGCCATACCCAGGATGATTACCGTTCATTTCTCCAGATCTCGTCCACATTTTCCAATCTTATCATGTCAGCTCTCCTACAGAATCCTGCAGCCCATGCTGCAGCGACCTTCGCCGCTTCATTCTGGCCTTATGGAAACGTCGGAAGCTCGAATGATTCATCTACATCCACCACCATCCAGACAGATGGAGCATTTCCACCAAGACAAATGAGCTCTCCTCCTCCAAGTATGGCTGCAATCACTGCTGCTACAGTCGCTGCTGCAACCGCTTGGTGGGCTGCCCATGGACTTCTTCCCATATGTGCTCCTTTCACATGCTTACCCATGTCGGCTCCCATTGTTCCACCATCAGTTTCCGCCCAAACTGAGTTGCCCGAGACAGATAAGAAAGATGCGGCTACTGCAAATCCTCAACAGCCAGCCATGGAACAGGGTGAAGCTCAAGTTTTGGCTTCACCATTTGAATCTGATGATGACTTGGATGAGAATGGAAGAACCGAGCAAGATACGGGATTGAAAACCGAAGATCACAAGGAGAAGGTTGTTGAAGTACAGGAACAAGTGCAAGATTCAAACACGACCCAGAAGAAAAAGCAGGTGGACCGCTC